TAAGTATATCGATAAAATGGAATATTGTTTGGCCATAAAAAAAAGAGAGAGAGAGAGAGAGAATGAAGTAACTGATACAGGCTAAAACATGGAAAACATTATGCTATGTGAAAGAAGCCAGACACAAAAGACCATGTTCTATGATTTCCATTATATAAAATGCCCAGAATAGGCACATCCAAAGTGACAGGAAATAGACAGAAGGGGAGCATGGAGAGTGACTGTTAAAGGGCACGGAGTTCCTTTTGGAGATGATAAAAATGTTCTGTAATTGAACAATGATGACCATTTGTTAGGCACAGTTTCTGTTGCTTGGCGTGAACACGGCCATCTTAAGAAGCAGGCTGCCCTCAGTGACCGCCATTTCGCCCAGAGGCGTGAGCCTGTATCACCCGAAAGGAATGTTCTTACAAAGCAGGTCCATTAAATGGTGACTGCCTTGGAACACACAGCTCTTTCCACTTGGCCACAGCCACCTGCATTCCTAGAGGCTCTGTATATCAAGATCCCAGCCCCTTTCCACACAGCAAATGGAGATCCGCCTTCTTGCTGGTGTCCAGCACCCTGCTCTGTCCTGCTTCCCCTACTTTAATTCTGGAGTTGCCAGCCTCTTCCTCTGGTCTGTAGGCACTGTCCTCCAGGAGGTTCCGCCTCGTGAAATTTTCCCAACGTGACTGTAAAATGTTGTAAACATACTGACAACCAGTGAATTGTGCACCTTTAAATGGTGAATTTTATGGTTTGTAAATTATACCAATAAAAAAATTAGAAGAAATAGATGGAAAAAAGAAAGAAGAGAAAGGCCAAATGGGGGAAAGGGAAGAGAAAAAGAGAGGACCAAGAGGAGAAAAGAAAACGAGGAGAAAAAGAACTTAGACCAATCCTTACTCAAATCGTATTTCCATTTAGGATAAAGACAGAACTGGTAAATGGCAGAATATTGGGTCTAGATAAGATTCTACATAGTAGCTTTTCCTATCAAGTTAAGCAGGGTCCTCATTTGCATTTACTTCTAGAACAAACCCAATCCATGGCATATTACAAGAGATGTAAATCAGAAAGAGAGAGCAGATGCCTGGCTGGTATGACCCAGTGGTTCAGCATCAACCCATGCACCAAGAGGTCTCCATTTCGATTCCCCGTCAGGGCACATGCCCGGATTTCGGTCTCGATTCCCAGTGGTCGGACATGCAGGAGGCAGCCAATCGATGTTTCTCTCTCATCGATGTTTCTATCTCTTTCCCTCTCCCTTCCTCTCTCCAGAAAAATCAATAAACACACACACACAAAAAGAGAAAAAAGAGAGTAGAAATGACAGGTACACTGTCATGAAGAGTTAGATAGTAAGAAAGAAGATTTTAAAAATGTAAACAAGGCAATGAATAAAAAAGGAAAAAGAAATTTAAACAGACACAGTAACAAAAACACATAGGATAAATTTATAAGGTAAATGTTGCAATCCAGTTCTATGTATCAAAATAAATATCTTAAAATAACATCCTTTAACTCCACAATTCCTTTTCAAGCATCTGACAAATATATTAAAATATTCATTAGCATTTGTTTTTAGTGGGGAAAAACAAAACAAAACTTCAATATTCATCAGAGGTACAAGTAAATTGTATATAAACCATGTATAAAATACAATACTTGAGAACCATTCATCTATTACTTGACCATGGGATGATGTCTACAATGTATTGAAGACCCCAGCTACTGAACATCATGTAAAATATTCTCTTTATGTAAAACATTACTTATTTATAGAAAATAAATATCTCTGGAAGGACATATACTCAATGACAGAATTTTGAATCATTTCTGCTTTCCTTTATTTCTTTTTTTGTATATTTTGAATTAATTGAAAGCTTTCCTGCATATACATCATAGCACAATAAAAGCTTTTTTTTATTACCACATATTACTTTTTAAATCAGGTAATAATAACATTTTCAATTTAGATAAAAAGTTATCTTCAGAACTGGTATTATTTCAAACAGATAAAACAAAACATGAGAAAGCTAGTTAACCATAGTTTCACCAAATAGGCATTGGATACACTAAGCATACTTTTGTCAAAATGTGATCTAAATACTGTAAAATCACTATAATGGTCACTATTAATTCAATAACCCAAAGGTTGGGTAACTATATAATTTACCTAACAAACTGAGGACTGAGGCACTTCCAAGAACACAAGGAGACACTACAAAGAATTACACTGGTCCCTGGACGGTTTGGCTCAGCTGTTAGAGCATCAGCCCATAAAGGATTTCAGGTTTGATTCCTGGTCAAGGGCACATACCTGGGTTGCAGGTTCAATTCCCAGCCCCTACTGGGTTCGTGTAGGAGGCAACCAATTGATGTGTCTCTCTCACATAGATGTCCCCCCCCCCCGCCTGCTTCCTTTCTACTCTATCTAAAAAAATTAATGGAAAAATATCCTCAGGTGAGGATTAACAACAACAAAAAAGAATTACATTGGACACACAAAAAAACTAACCTGAGCAAACTAGGACATAAAGTCACCCTACCCATAGGTTACTAGAATTCAAGAATTACACACATTGAGTTTAATGAAGAAAAGTCCTCGGGGTTATGTCAAAGTGCTGTATCACAAAGTAGTTCTAGTTGAGTTAGAGTTCTTGATACCGGTGGCTCACAACCAGCAATGTCAATCAGCATTATCCAGCAAGCTTCTCCAAACTTAACATTCCTGGACCCTCCCCCAGAGATTCTATCTAATTCAGTAGATCTATAATGGGGTCCAAGAAGATGCTTTTGTGTGCTGAATGGTTTCTTTTCATTCTACAGTGATTCTTACACACACTGGCTGATGGTTAACTTTACATGTTGATTTAACAGGGCTAAGGGAAGCCCAGAGAGCCTAAGACATTATTTCTGCAAGTGTCTGTGAGGGAGTTTCCAGACAAGGAGATAAGCAGCAGAATCAGAAGACTGAGTGACAATCACCCTCTCCAATGCCGGAGGGCCTGAACAGAATGAAAGGTAAAGAAAGGACACACGTAGGCTCTCTTGCTTGAACTGCCCTGGGACAATGGTACTCTGGTTTCTCGGGCCTTCAGACTGGGGTTTCGACCATCAGCCCTGCTTCTCAAGACTTCAGATTAAGGTTCAGACTAGAACTAACCACTGGTTCCCCTGGGCCTCCAGGTTGCAGACGGAAGACTATGGGACTTCTCAGCCTCCATCTGAGTCAATCCTTCATGACAAATCCTTCCGTGCAGCTACATATATCCTATTGGTTCTGTTCCTCTGAAAGACCCTGACTAATAAACACCCCATTTAAAAACTGCCACTACGATGTGTGTCTCCAACTTTAACCTGCATATAAATCACCTGGGAATGCTATTAAAACACAATTTTATTCAATAAATGTGAGGTGAGGCATTTCTAATAAGCCACCAGGTGATGTGGTGGCCCTGGTCCTGGTTGGTGGCCCTGGTCCAGGTTGGTGGGCCATACTAATTCGCATGGATTGGTGTCCTTTAAGCCCTTAAAATTCAAAGGCCACATTTTACCCATCCGTTTATTCCCCAAAGTGGACAAATATTTAAGTAACTAGAGAAACACATTCTATTTTCAGATTAGTATTACTTAATATTAAACCAAGAAAGATTTAAGCTAAAAAATTCAAATTTTAATATCTAAAACCTAGAATGATTAAAACTTAATGAACTAAAACAATAAGCAGTACTAAAATTTATAGAAATTAGAGTAATTTAAACGTTTTTTAAAAATTGGGACATTAGACCCTGGCCAGTTTGGCTCAGAGTTTAGAGTGTTGGCCCATGGACCAAACACAGAGTTGTAGGTTCGATTCTGGTCAAGGGCATATACCTTGGTGGCAGTTCAATCCCTGGTCCTGACCCGGGTCCTGGTCAGGGTCATGCGGGAGGCAACCAATCAATGTGTCGCTCTCACACTAATGTTTCTCTCTGTCTCTCTCTCCTCTTCCCCCCTCCCTTTCTCCCTTCTATTCTATCAAAAAAAAATAATAATAATAATGAAAAAATATCCTCGAGTGAGAATTAAAAAAAAAAAAAAAGTCCAGGATGCCAGACTACTTGTCTCAAAGTTCCACCCCTATTTGTTAACCAAACAAGTCTCAAACTTTCAAATCCTTTCAAATGAAACCTATACAAATGTCATTGTAAAAATAGTCTGATGCAATAGATGACATCAGTTGGAACGTGTTTACAAGTCTATCAATCTTAAGCATAAACCTTGACCTTAACAACAAACACTATGTCATACTCATCTTGTATTCCTGTGTTAAACAGACTTGGGTATAACAATAAAAATTCCCAATCTCTCTATCTCTCCCAAGATTTATAGCCTCGTACTGAACTAGTTGGTTATCCGGTTATTACTCTCATGCTCATTACATCTATTAGGAGAGTAATTAGTAGCACTTATTCATAATAATCTAATTATGTTAATTGCAGAGGGAGTGTTTCTCATTCACTTAACTCAGAGCTCCATGAGGACAAACACATCTGTATTGATCACTGCCATAAGCCTCAGCACCTAACAGAGCACCAATAATTATTGGTAGGATAGGTGGTTGAAGGAATAACTGAATGAATGGTGTCTAAAATATAGTAGATACCCAAAAAATGTTCACTGAATTAATTAAGAAGAGCTTATTTTCTAATGTATTCATTACAGGAAACTCTATGTAATATAAACCCTACATTAAAGTATACCTTGCAAACACCACTTATATCACTAAAGTTCAGCTCTATGAGATGTGCCATGTCACCAGTAGTATTTAAGGTGGTTATGATGACAATTCAATTGGTGTTACTTTATATTCTCTGTATCGATATATTTTTCCCTTCAGCATCTTTATAGTACCTAATGGCATATTCATTTATAATAAAGAGAGCTAAAGAGATGGCAATCCCTATTCTAGAACACTGAATTTGTTCTCTATGTCATTCATTCACCTAAAAAAAAGGAATTAAAAGCCTCACCATTACTAGGGGTCTCTTGGGACTGCTTTGCAGGGTTGCCCTGGTCGTGGGACTCTTCAGGATCATCACTGGACTTTGACAGCCGTTTCCTGAGAGAAGTCTCTTCACCCACCATCGTGTTATCTAGGAAAGAAGATGCAAAAAGTTGTGAACTAAGCATCTGGCTTAGGCAAATTTCACAATATCACCATATTTAGAGGTAAAAAATGATGGTACATTCTGATCCTTCTGTTTCATTTTGATCATGCGTAAGCATTTTCTGAGTACAAGATACTATTACAAATGTGAAGAAATTAGTCCCCATAAAGCAGTGGTTCTCAACCTTCCTGATGCCGTGACCCTTTCATACAGTTCCTCATGTTGTGGTGACCCCCAACCATGAAATTACTTTTGTTGCTACTTCATAACTGTAATTTTGCTACTGTAATGTCTTAGGCAACCCCTGTGAAAGGGTCGTTCGATCCCCAAAGGGGTTACAACCCACAGGTTGAGAACCGCTGCAAGGAACTGATTGGTTTCAAAGGCCCTTATTTAAATACAGCCCTCATTCATAAAAAGCAATTTAATTAACAAACAAGACACAAGTATATGAAAAATTAAGAATTCAATAACAAAAGGTAAGTGCAAAGGTACCACAAGGCAGGATACGATTAATGGTCAAGTAACGGTAAAAACAATTCATATCTGAAGGTCAGAGACAGAAGAGAGCGTGAAAAGATGTAAAGGTTTCACAGAACAGACGGTATCTGGACTGAGTCTTGAGTAATAAAGAGTTAAAACAAGGTCCTCAGGAGCCCTATTCAAGGGACCACAACTGATTGGACTACTTTACTATAACAAGAAACAAGCTTTGGTTGAGTATCTACTAAATGCAAGGACTCTGCTGGGTGCTTCCTGTTGTCCCATCTAATCTTCACAACAGATCTGCAAAAGAGACGTGAAAAAAACAAGGCTCAAAGTAGTTACTGTCAATGACCTCCACCCCCACACCAGGAACACACCTGCAGCTGTACACGTCGGCTTTATTAGGAACACACACCATGGGAAACCGTGGGGTGACTCAGTAAGGGAGTATTAGAAGTGACTTATTTAGGATTTGGGACTTGGCTACGAGATTTTGAGGGAGAGTTCAGAAGAGCAGAGGTTCACTGTGGCTTGGGGTACTGTCAGAAAGCCGAGACGACGCTATGACTGGGCTTCTCAACAAATCTCTACAGGAAGGCTCCCCAGAGGGAGGGTAAAGTTGGAACTTATAAAGCAGAAACCATCACTGATGTTAGTCTGGGGAGGAGAATGCCGGAAATTTTGTGACTGGAACAATAATCATGTTTTGTTTGTGTTCAGACATGATGATGGCATGGACTGGTTTTTGTCTTGATCCATTGTGGTCACAGAATGGCCTTTTCGGATGTTGACAGTCAGTGAAATTGTTTTCAATAGAACACCTCCAAGCAGCTTTAAGTGCTGAGCTACTGAGCAGCCACACGGAGGCCTGGAGGACAGCCCCATGCAGCCCTCAGGGGCCCTTACAGCCACCTAGAGACCACACAGCTAATGACAGGGCCAGCTCTCAACCCGAGTCCAGTCCAAACTACAAACACCACTATTACAACTTTCTTTAAGTTGATAAGAGAGAAATGTGATGAGGGGGAAGACTAGAAAAGAGAGCTAGAATCAAACTGTAAAAGCCTAAGAAATTAGGATCTTTTCTTCTTTTTTTCACTTAGGCAGTGATGAGCCATTTTAAGCACTGAAAAATATGATCAAAGTCAAATTTTGGACAGATCAATGTCAAGACAGAACAAGGTTTACTTCAAAGCAGTGTTTTACTACGTATCAAGTTCTCATTAATCTGAAGCAAAAAGAAAAATACTGAAGAACTTGCTATAATATTTTTTAAATTCTAAGATTATAATCTTTCTAAACTTTTAGGTTAAAATGTCCTTTTCTGTATGAAATGTAACACATGGTGAGCTTGACTGTTTTCTCAAATATCACTGCTTCACCAAGTAAAAATCTGACAAATGTAGATCGGCTCCCTTTCAATTTTGTCTGACACTGACTAAATGAAACAAGTAGGGAAGAGCACATGAATGTGTCAGGTAGAAATTTTAGGAGACCAATAAGATCCAATTAAGAGGAACCTAGGAAAGGGGGCAGGGCAACTGATCAATATGAAAGTCCTTTGTGTGACAGTGACAGAGGAAGCCAGAAAGCACCTAGTTCTCCAAGAGCAAAGATCAGAGAAGGGAGAACAGACAACTAAACTCTGAGAGATGCCCTCAAAGTAAAGCATCAAGAAGTAGGAAAAAAAATAAGGGAATTTCGAAAACAATAGATTGAAAGATGCAAAAACAACCAAAATGTTTCAAAAAGGGAGGAATTATACAGGGGATAAAGTGGAATAAAAACAGAGACTCTACTTTTGAGTGCTTATGTGCTTTACATGTACGATGTATTTTAATCTCAATATAATCTTTAAATTGGGTACTATTATTTAATTCCTCAAACAATGCCTTTGGCCACCATGTCTTCTATTATACTCTTTCCGGTCTCTAGAAAGCCCATTCTCTGCCCTTTCTTTATCTAGCTAACCCTTCTCACTCTTCAAAGTAAGAGTCACAGCCGCAGCAGCTGGAACAGCAGTAGTAACAACACAACAGCAGCTTTGACTTAGTGAGCAGCTATTATGCATCTACCAGGCACTGTGCTGCTGAGTCTTTTCCATTTGTTTATTAAATGTTTACAAACTTAGAAGGTAGGTATTATCCTCATTTTACAGATAAGAAAGATATAGTTTAGGGAAGTGATTTAACTTGCCCCAAATCATATGATTCCCCCAAGAGCAGAACAGGGATTCAAACCAGAACTACCGGATTCCACAGCCTATTCTGTAATCACCAGGTTGCCTGACCCGTGTCCTCTGCTAAGGTTGCCTTGACCACATCTGTCATCTCACATTCCTCCTCGCTCCCAGTGTACCTTGTGACTATCACCTTACTCCTATACTCAAGAGAGCAATACTATCTCCCTCTTACACTACATAAGCTCCTCAAAGACAGGGACTACATCGTGTTTACTCTTTGAATCCCCCAAAATCTAGTGGGGAATGTCTGGAGTGCAACAGGCGGGCATTAGTACAGAAGGTGGATGTATCCATTAATACTATAACCAATAATCGTAAGTAAAAAGATACAGTGCTCTAATTTAGAGAATCAAGAGGAAAATATATGCTAGGAGGAGGCCAATGAGCATCATCTTTACTGGGAACAGCTTTACACAACCTACTCGACAATAAGCTCTACAACAATTGTTCTCAATTGGGGGTGAAGGGTCTCCAAGACTCCTAAAGGTATGCAAAAACTACTTCAAATATTTCAGTAACTGAAAGAAACAAGTATACATGTGTCACAGAGGGCAAACAATACGGCCTAACGAAAACACTGGCCTTTGGCTGAGCCTCCTAACTCAGGGAGCAATCAGCTAGCTCATGCTGATTAAGAGCACTAATTAAGAGGTGAAAAAATTCTTAACAAACCAAATTTGACAAATAAATGATGTCTAACATGCAAAAACAACAACAAGTAAGCCTGGGTACCCCGTGGAGAAAGGAAGTAGCGCGTGGTCATGAAAGTGGGAGCCATCAGTCTGGTCTAGAGAACAAACAATCACACTGCCATAACTCCATCTCCTTATTTTAGAAGTGAGCCAAAAAAGAAAACCCTAACTTTATAACAAAACTTTTTTTTAGCCCTGGCCGGTTTGGCTCAGCGGTTAGAGCGTCAGCCTGCAGTCCGGAGAGACCCGGGTTCGGTTCCCGCTAAGGGCCCGTACCTCGGTTGCAGTTTGTCCCCGGCCCTGGTTGGTCGTGTGGGTGGCAGCCACTCGATGTGTCCCTTTCACATCGATGTTTCTCTCTCTCTCTCTCTCTCTCTCTCTTCCTCTCTCTCCCTCCCACTCTATCTGAACAAAAAATGGAAAAAAGTCCTCAGGTGAGGATGAAAAAGAAAAAAAAAAAAGTGGCAAAAAAAAAAAAAAACAACTTTTTTTAAAAGTAATTATATTTTATTTTTGTTACAGATATTTCTCCTTTTTTACCCCATTGACACCCTCCTCCCCATCCCCCCAACCTCATCCCCAGCTTTGTTGTCCATGTCCATTGGTTATGCGTACATGCGTGTAAGTTCTGTGATTTATCTCTTCCCTCCCCCCCACCACTCCCTCTTCTGAGGGTTGTCAGTCTGTACCCCACGTCTCTGGGTCTACCCTATTCCTCAGACTGTTATGTTCATTATATTCCACAAATAAGTGAGATCATGTGGTATTTGTCTTTTTCTACTTGGCTTGTTTCACTTAGGATAATACTTTCAAGGTCCCTCCATGTAGTCTCAAAAGGTAAGAGATCTTTCTTTCTTACAGCTGCATAGTACTCCATTGTGTATACGTACCAGCGCTTTTTTATCCACTCATCTACTGGTGGACACTTGGGCTGTTTCCAGATCTTAGCTATTGTAAGTAGTGCTGCTATGAACATGGGAGTAAATATATTTTTTCTGATTGGTGTTTCAGGCTTCTTAGGGTATATTCCTAAAAGTGGGATCACTGGGTCAAATGGCAGTTCAATTTTTAATTTTTCTGAGGTAACACCATATTGTTTTCCATAGTGGCTGCACCAGTCTGCATTCCCACCAGCAGTGTACTAGAGTCCCATTTTCTCCACACCCTCACCAACATTTGTTGTTTGATAATTTGCATAACAAAACCTTTTTATCAGAGTCTATTTTAATACCATTGGCCTCAAATTCCTCTACTAGCCCTGTCCGGTTTGGCTCAGCGGTTAGAGCGTTGGCCTGCGGTCCAGAGAGACCCGGGTTCGGTTCCCGCTAAGGGCACGTACCTCAGTTGCAGTTTGTCCCCGGCCCTGGCTGGGTCGTGCGGGTGGCAACCACTCAATATGTCCCTTTCACGTTGATGTTTCTCTCTCTCCCCCTCCCTTCCACTCTATCTGAACAAAAAATGGAAAAATGTCCTCAGGTAAGGATTAAAAAAAAAAAAAAAAATTTCCTCTATTAGCAGGAAGTAAGAATTGTAACAGAGAAAAAGCACAGGATTTGGTAGTTTGT